ATAAAAAGTTTATATAATGGAAATTATAAATAAAGTATTTCATTAACGTATAGTTTTTCTAAAAGATTTATTTAATGATCAATTTATTGGAATAAGGATTTAAAGAGTCATTTAATTTTTTAATGTCTTCATAAGTTGAAAAATTCTATAACTTTTATTTCAGCAATGACAATAATAATTAAATAGCTTAACCTAAATCTAATGAAACAGCCCCTCTAATATGATTAAAAAACTGGAGAATATATAAATTAAAATTATAATCCCTTACTTTTTCTGTTATTTGATTTGTAAGAAACTAAACCATTAACAATTTTAATAGCTATGAATACAATAGTCTTATATAAAGTTTTCTATTGATAACTAAATATTTTCAAAGCTACTTCTTAATTCTAATTAAATATAAGTCATTTATTTTTATCATCAATTTTAAATAACTGATAAAAAGTTATAAATAAAATGAATTATTAAACATAAATAATATCTTGATTATTAACGTGTTATAATTCAACCTTGTATAACAGTAATATTAAATTACAAGTAATGGTTAAAATTTTGAAATAAAAATATTGAAAAAATACTATAATTTAATAATTTTAGTGATTAAGAAATACAAAGCACAATCTATCTATTTATAAACAACTTTAATCATAAAGAATGTGTAGATAAGTAAATATAAATTTCATTTGGAATTCTATTACTAAATTTCAAATCCAATATTTATATTTAAAAATAAAGAGTACAAAATTTCATTTATTATTTTAAATGATAATAATTTTCTTTTTAATCAATGTGATCAACATGTCATCTGATTTTTCATACACAATAAACCAAGAAACATCATTATTCCCAACAGAAGGGGAAATTTATAGATACTATTTCGAAAATTTTATAAGTTATTATTAATTGATGTGCAAAATTGATACTAAAGTTCCTTATGTTTAATTTTTGAATATATACGAAGAAATATATCAAATATAAGGGGATTGTAAAATATTAAGATTATTTTTATAGAATTTATATCAATGTCATAAAATGAAACACATTTTTGTACATTATCAAATGAAAATGTAATAATTATTTATGAGTGGAATAATTAAATGATTCAATAAGTTGGCTCAACTGTAACCATTGATTCTTCATTCAATTGTTTTAACATTAATTTGTTTGAAAATTTTTCAATTTTAGTTGATTGCTATTAAAATAATGAATTCTTTTTCATTCAATTAATGAATGAATAACCAGAAATTGCTTATTCAATACCATCATCTATACCTACTTAAACTAAAATGTAATCAATTATAAATGAAACAAATGCTTTTATAGTATATGCCTAATATTTTGAGGATTATTCAATACTTACACTATTTTCATCATCATTTTTAAATTAAAGTAGCTTAAATTAATAATTTGTTGATTTTGATATACCAAATAAAATAAGTCCGAACATTTATTTAATAACTATATAAGAGATATTCATGTTATCCATATCTTCAGATTCTCATTTTATTTTAATAAGTAACCTTAGCTCAGATAATATGTGTCAGTATTGCAATTACTAGATCACTAATTTTACAAATATTATTGTTTTTTACGATTTATGGACTTATTCTTAATGTGATCAAATATAATTATTATATTATTAACCGTATTAAGTGTGTATTAATTATTTAATAGCATGTAAAAATATTATAATTTTTGAAAAAAATGATTGTTCAATGTTATAAGATTCAATTTTGAATATACTTTAAAATAACTAATTTATAATATATTAATTTGCTAATACAATAGTCATTTCAGAAAAACAGTCAAATTAGATGATTTCAAATAATCTATATCATTAAAGTAATTCACTTTTATATTTCAATTATGATAATGAATTATTTATATTTAATAAAGATATCACAGCTTATAAAATTTAAATCCCTTCTTTATAAGTTAACTTAACAAATTTATAAATTGCAGGTGATAATTTCACTTTTTCACTTATATGTCACAATTAGGGATAAGAAAATAACTATTATGGTAAAATTAATCTTTAAGTATTATCTTAGAATGATACAAATATATATGTAGGCACAAATATTATTTTATTTTCTATAATGTTTAATTAAGATTTCCCTCAATATTAAACTTCAATTACTATTCCAGTTACAAATAATTTTATTAGTTTTTCTGGGTATTTATTATAATATAAACTAAATTCAAATGAAATACCTTTGAATTTTTCATTAATTGCCTCACAAAAAGCTGGTTAAATTAATTAGAGTTATTTATTAATATAATCTTTGTCAATAATCTAATAGAATGAGGCAATTTTTTAATATTTGATAGGATATAACAATTATTCAATAGATGTTTTGGAATGTTAATCTTTAAATAATGTTTATATCTACTAATTCACTGAATAAAGTTCAATTAAAATCTCTGTAAATGCAAATGCTTTATAAATTGCCTATAGT